ATTTTATTATCATTTTCAGATTCGAACAAAGATCAAGTCAGAGATTTAAAAGCTAGGGCATTTAGAAATCCTAAAAAACTTCTATTTTCAACACTGATTAATAGATATAGTCAGGTTTAAGATATTTATGAACATATTGACAATCTCGATTATTATGACACTCCAAACTATAAATATATACAGTAAGCTTGATGATAACGATAATGCCTCTTATAGAGACAAGTTGTTTGAAATAAAGCATTAAAGTCATGCAAGGTAAAACTCCAGACGAGATCAAATAATGCAGCAGAGTATGAACCATCTCTAAGCTTAGTAGTAATAGCAAAGTGTCATGAATTTCCAGCAGACTGCTTCTCCATAAGCTCAGCAGCAAATGATAATCCTATCTTAACTCCCACCCGCGTAGTACCTGCAGATGACAACGATATCTAATTAACAAGGATAGCCATTCTAAAACATTTTACTAAACAACCAAATAATACAATCTAATAACCCTCCACAGATTTTTCAACAAAACTCGCCAACTATCTTTCAAAATTAAGAATAAACTCAGTTCAATGGATTAAGTTAGCTCTAAATAAATCCAAGCATTATTTCTCATCAATAACACTTCATCAACTTGCAGCAGTAGATACACCAGAATAGCTTGCTCATGCAGTAATAGCAATAGCTTTAGCAGTAAGCCCAAACCCCTAATAATAATACCGGCACAAATAAAAGAACCTAGAAAGATAAAGCCAAACTCACCAAAGCATAATAGAAAATCCTTCAGACTTAAAAATAGGTACTCTTGGATCCATCACAAACTCAAATTCACCAGATGATCCAGTAGCAGCAGTAATTCTCATAATAACAGCAGTAAAACCAAGAAGGTGACTCTTAGAATATGAAGAAGCAGACTAAATAGAGTAAGCACGTATTTAATTTACAAAGTGATAGCACTACTTAGAAAGCCAAGAGAGGAAGAAAACCAGGAACTCAAAATAAAAAGCCTAGCAAAAAGAAGGAGAACTTGGAAAAATATGTAAAGCCAAAAGTAGTTGAAAATGAAGAAGTTGAGAATACAGCTGAGGACGAATCTCCAGAAAACGCCTAGGAATAGGCAGCAAAAGTACAATCATCTTCAAACGTAGTATAGTAGACTATCGATTAAACACCAGCGAATATTGTTCATCCTCCACCAACAATGACATCAATGCTAAACCCAAACATAGACACAATTAAATACAGCTCATAATATGAATCTGCAGATTAGCTAGTTTTGAGTAATTTAGAAGAAGAGGCAGAAGCAGAAGACGGTTTAGATAAGGATACTCCTACTCTCAGTCCTGTAAAATCTAATCAACAAATTATTCAGAATTGTGTTCCTATAAAGCAGCAGAATAATGAAATGAAGGAAGAATCAAATTTGGAATAATAGCTTGCTGATGAAATTAGAAAGGCAGATGACTTGCAAATTGAAATGACTAATACAGATAATACATTGACTACTCCAATTAGAGGCCCAGCAAAACTAATGTTAAGTTGTGATAGCGCTTCTCTTCGAAAAAGAGGAAGGCCTAAGGGCTCTAAAAATAAGTCCAAAAAGGAACAATCAGCTACAAAATATATTAAAAAATGAAATTTATATAAGAAAAGCAAGTGTAATTAATTAATTTAAAAACACTGAACTATAAAATGAGATTTTTATTTTACAATTTTATTTATGATCTCTCTGTTCGGGGTTTTGGGGTTTTGGGG